CTTTATACTTCATTACCCTCTTGACAAAAGAATTTATTAACGTTAGATTGTAAATTGTAACACAGCATGCGGAGAAAAACATTTCTTCCATATGCATATTTATATAGTTCGATAGTTGTTAAAAATCTTCAAGTGATCAAATATTTGTACTTGTATGGTAAAGTTTATAGAAAATGCATTTTTTTATTCGAGCTACATGTATTTCTGAAATATGCTTGAAATGGAAAATATTTTTTTATCTGTCTTAGATTGTTCTGAAGTGATATTTATTTATCTATTTATTCATTTAGTCCTAAAATCTTTTTAATTCATGTGAATAGATGTTTTATTTCCTTAAAGAGTGCACGTATAATTAAATTCTTTTGTATTTAAAAAGATCTTAATGAATTCAATAGTTGCATTCCCGGTAGATAACATTTTAAAATTAGCTAATTTTAATCTTGGCAAAAAATTTCTCTAAACTTTATTTCCCTTAACCATATCTTAATTAATGCATACGATGATTAAAATAATTTCAATCAGTCCTACATTAAGTGTAAACTACTTAAACAGATCACAGAAATGAAACAGCTTCATTCCTTATATCTATAATTGATATATGTCTCGTTTGTTGTATCATAAAACAATTCCAATGAAAAAAAACATTTTCCATATTTACTCATCACTTGGAGAAAATGAATATGTATAGAGATTGAGGTATCTGGCTTCCATATTCCTTCTATTGACGTTTACAAACAAGGCAGTGACCTTTTACTTTCATCTGGAATATAAACAAATTTACCAGATTCATGTCCTATTTATATATATATATATATATATATATATATATATATATATATATATATATATATATATATATATATATATATATATATATATATATATATATATATCCATATTTACTCATCACTTGGAGAAAATGAATATGTATAGAGATTGAGGTATCTGGCTTCCATATTCCTTCTATTGACGTTTACAAACAAGGCAGTGACCTTTTACTTTCATCTGGAATATAAACAAATTTACCAGATTCATGTCCTATTTATATATATATATATATATATATATATATATATATATATATATATATATATATATATATATATATATATATATATATATATATATATATATATATATATATATATATATATATATATATATATGTATGTATTTCAAAGATATATAGATGGTTAAGATTTTTAATAAATTGTTTTAAAATAACAATGCAATTCCATTATGATGAGACAATCGGAAAATATTTCTGAATTACTGTTTTGATGTGCATGTAGTCTGAATCCAAATGGTATTGTTAAATGGATGGGAAAAGTCCTGGTGAAATTGTCAAGTAAACTCAGAATTTCAAATATTGTTGATTTCACAAGGCTACTTTTAAATCCTGTCTATTGACCAAAATCTGGAATTTTGCTTTTCAGTACTACTTGAATGTGCTCATCAAAAAAGGTTACGGAATTGTGAACTAAAACTGCACAAGTTAGCTGTTTCATTTGGAAATTGCAAAGAGGAATATAGCGTGTCTGTAATCTACTTCAGGTGAGATATTTATTCCGGATAAACCAGAAGAATTGCTTTTTTATAATTCAAAGTTTTGCTTTCTACATTAGAAACATCGCAGATATTGGCTTTTATTTGATTCAAATTGATTTTCTTAGGTAAAATTATACATGATGCAATCATTTTGTATAAAGATATCACTTCTTCTTCCAAATACATATACCTGGTACTAGTATTCTAACACGGTAAAGTCTCTGTCGTTATCCTAGAATAAAAATTAGCGTACGTAGGTAGCTAGGGTGAGTTAAAGAACGACTAGATGTACCGCTTGCCCGTTTGTTAAGTTTTTTCGTTTGTCGTGTTTTTATGTACATTTGTTAGGGGTGAAACGATACGCCTCCTTCACGGTTCGATACGTATCGAAAAATTTTGTCTCGGTTCGGTTATTTTCGATACGATACATTTTGATAGAAGGAAACAAATCCAACTGTTGCTCATGCTTACTTTTACTTAATCTAGTCAAATAATTTATGTGCAAAGTGGATAGAATAATTCAATTTAATTGATTTGAAATTTTAAAAATATTTTACAAACTTTTAGTCCACAAAAATTTACGTTTTTAAACTAATTATACAGAGAAGCACGTTTATACCTTATGCCAAACTCGACTGAATGACGATCCCGACCGAAAAACGAACCGAACCGAAAGTAGAGATTTTGTACCGTGTATCGAACCGAGAAAAAATACCGCGGTGAACCGATACCGCGGTGAACCGTTTCACTCCTAACATTTGTTCAGCAAAGATGATCGGTCGTTTTGCATTCATATAATATGTTTGTTAAGTACGTTGTCGTTGGTTTTGCTTTAATGTATGTTTGTTCTACGAAAAAGGCCTGTTGATAATGCATTGTATATCATTTGTTAAGTTTTTACGGTCATTGAAATTAAAATAATTGTTTGTTTTCTCATTATGGTATTTTTTGCCATTTCCGCTGCCCATAAAAGAACCTAGCCTCCAAGAGTTATCATGGACTACTGAGCTAGGTAGTTGTGGGGGTTATTAATGATATATCGAAGTTTTCAGAATAGAGTTAGACAAACAAAAAAATGTATGTAAAATTATTTATATATTGAAGTATATGGAAAAACTCCACTTTTTAAAAGTCTTTAGTGTGTCAAGGATGAAATTCAGTTACAGCGTTATTGATAAAAGCCAGCCTACCTAGCTTTAAAATGTGTATATGTATGCTTGCTCTCACATCAGGTTTTTAAGGCTTTACCTTTGAATTTCTTAAAGTCGGCTGTCACAAAGCATTTAAAGAAACATAATTAATTAAATGTAAACATTATCTTCAAATACGAAGTAATTCAATAAAATTATTTATAAAAACTCTAGTGAAGATACAATCAACTTTTCCTATTTTCGGTGCTATTTCGAGACAAATTATAATATTTATTTTTTCAAAACAATGCATCATAAACATAACTTAAGTTGTAAGAGTATGTCCGTAAAATTTCCGTTCTTGTATAACTCTTTCTTATTTGCCATTTAGTTGTTAAAGCTTGTCCCCAGGAATATAAATAAATCATATTAGAAATATAATTTGATTCCTATTCGTCTTGGCTGCGATTCTCACAAAAATGTACACATAGATACTTCTTTTGCAATAATGCTATGCTAAAAATATTTAGATTATACATAACAGGAAGTGATTATCATTAAAATGCATGCTATACATTCATGATCAAACTCAATCCCTAATACAGTTCAGAACAAAAATAGAAATATTTAAGATTAAGTAAAGGGTTTATTAATACTTTAATATTTTTATTAAAGTAAATTTTTCTTGGCTGTTAAGCTATACAACTCTCTTTTAAAGCGTTTAGGCAGTGATGACATATTATTAATCATAGGCATGACGAAACCTCAAAGTTTAAATGCACTCTTGTAACAGCAAAACAATAAGATTACTAATAGATACATGTACCTGGGAATATGCCTTTTTTCAGATTGTTGAGACACCCCAATCTTGAAGATGTGGCACAGCATTCTTTTACGAACACAACACCCAAATGTACTAAATTATATAGAACATCAGATACAAATGTCAATAGTTTCGCCCATATTATATTTCCAAAGATCTTCAATATTACACAGAAAATAACAGTGTTCTAATCTTATTGTTTACAAATAAAACACCCAGATTATGAAATTAAATACACGTTGTATTAGGACATTTCAGTACTTTTGCACCAATATCAGATTTCCGAAAAATTCAATATTTCTTGTCTATCTCTCTATATGCTATCACAGGCGGTCTAAAATACCCTTTTAAAGTGTTTTATACGGATTGACAACGACATTGGGTTATATAATAATGTTATTTAATCCTTAACATAATGCAATAATTTGCCAAAGAAAGACACAAACTTAACATAGCTCTAAACAAAAGTCAATTGTAGTCCTTTATGGAGAATTGGAGAATTGCTAACAGAAACACGGGTTCTATGGCTAAAAAAATCATAAGGTGAACAGTAATTGATTGAAAATATACCTACAATACAAATCTATGAACAAAGTATAAAGAATGGACCTTAAGAAATTCCAGAGGTGGGATAAAGTTCCTTAGAAAAGTAAACTTCTATTGGTCACGTACACGGAATATTCCGTAGTAACAGTAGGTATTAAAACGATAAACCTGACAATAATTGTTATCAAAATACGACCGAAAGATAGATTACATTTGTTTAGTCATTATAACGACCATATATAATTTACGAGTTTGCTAAACTTATCTCTCAAAATCTTTCCTGGGTTTAAAAATTGAAGTATATAACTCAGGGCATACTCTTAAGTATTGAATGAGTTGAGAAAAATAAACGCCATATGCAGGTGATAGAAGAAAACACATAAGGAAAATTTACGATCGAAAAGCTGTCATCTCGTTTGTTTGTTTTTTTTTTTTTGTCCCTCAATTTTGTTGGAAGTTTGTCTTTATCGTCCATAGTCAGTATTTAAAACATTCAAACATGAAATAGATGGTAGGATCTGAGGTGTCCTTAATTTTTAGTTCACCATATATAATGAATCGACATATGAATGGAAGTAACCATTTTTAATTTATAAAACTTCAATATATCTGAATGTCGAGTGGAAAGCTTCAACACGAGTTTTTTCTTATGTAGCAGTAAGTACATGCTTCTTTGGAATATGAAAACAGATTGGCTATTAATGGGACACAAAAAGTGCAGAATTCCAACAATATCTAGGAAGATCTGGTCTCTAAAGACTACAAATATGTTGTCAATGAGGAAACCTCGCATCCGTAAATACAAACTTCATAGAACTTGTGTGTAGATTAATCAGTGTATTTTTAACAAAGTAATATGTTGCTTAAAACCATTCACAATATGAAAAACTTCGAAAATTAATTTTAATTAAGAAGCAGTTGTTGGATGCTACTGACTATTAAAAAGATATTTAAATTTTCTTCGAAGTTTTGGAGAATTCACCTTAGATGTAAGAAAGTCCCGTGAGTCTGACTATAGAGTTTGAAGAAAGAGAAATGAATGAAGCCGCGGTAGTCAATATATAGCAATGTCTCGATCGACTGGATGCAGCATTTATCAGTGTTTATTGCAAGTAGGAGCCATCAACTAAGGTAAATATTAAGATATTTAAGGAATCACTGTCTAGTTTTGAGAGTATGCCAGGGCACCACTATTGTTGATGTCCCTGGCATACTCTCAAAACTAGACAGTGATTTCATATATTTCCATTTCATTGTGAAATAAAATTGTAGACTTAGACATTAAAAATGTAGACTAATAGATTTTATTACACGAGGACTTCCATGCCAATTTCAATAGTCCTCGCACACTGACGTCAAACACAAAGGCAGCCGCACGAGATTTTCATGCATATTTGGCCGCCTTAGTGTCAGACACAGAGACAGATGCGCACGAGATTTGCATGCGTATTAGGCCTCCTTAGCTGCTGACCTATCGACCTGACTAATTTACATTCCGGCAGAATTATCAAGAAATAAATTCCCCCAACTTTCAAACAGTTATCACAGAGAAAAAAATTAGAAATGGAAATATATCAGCAATATGGACTAGATTTATTTGGGGTTTTAATATAATGAACTGCATTATGTTATTAATCTTAAAAATTCTTACACTGGTTTCTTTTTCCTGTTTAATTGTAAACAAACTGAACAGCTATACTCGTTTTTTGTTCTTTTGTTTTTTTTATTTGACTACGCAGCACTATGGATTCTTAAATATACGCTAGGAATTTATTATACAGGTAATATGATTTCTGGAGAAGCACCACTCGCGATATAAAATTATTCGCTTTCATTTCTATGTTGCTGAAATCAATGTAAAATCTCTTTATCAACTATCCCCTTCCGAATTATTGTTTTCGAGATTTGACGTTAAAAGGTCATTTCGCGGTAATATGTACTCGCGAAAAATAAGGAATTTACAGTATTCTTAGTACAAGCCCCCAAACCCCACTCTCGCATACCTAGGCACTTATATTATCTTGAATCTTGCAAATCAAGACAAAGGTTTTTAATCGGAATATTTAAACAAAAAACGAATTCAAATAATTTTTGCAGCTGATTCATGATGTAGAGTAGAAAAATAATTAAATTTCTTCGTATAGAAATATCATCGATACTGGAAACGTGTGTAATATGTCGAAAGTATTAGGTGATTCAATGTGACGCGTAAATAAAAGGACGTCACAGGTCATTAAGCCAATCAGAATACAAGATATTTTGTCACACTCACTGTCATTGGTAGACTACATAACTAAAAATAACGATTGAACTTTCGTAATATTTAGAAATGTCATAATTTCTTCCGCCTTTCATAAAAGAATATATCGACGTATAATTATGACGACCTATTCTTTCTTTAGTATTCCATTTGTCTTGTTTACAAAAGAATGGGTCTAACAACTGCATCAGCATAATATTTTGAGAAAGTGTTTGAAGAAATATGGATAGAATACCGACAATAAAGGAAATAAATGAACTACTTCAGGACACAAAAAGTAAGACAAGATTAAAAAATGCAGCCCTTGTTGGGGTAATCGACTATTTAAGTGCCGGGTTTGAAATAGGAGCAATTGACTTGGAATCAAAGTGTGTGAAAGGGGTGATATGCCGAATTTCAGGACTTGAAAATGAACTCTGTGCCTACGAACTAACTTTAAAGAATTATGTAAGTAATTTTTGTTTTCGTATTTCCATGTTAGAAGTAATAAAAATGCATACTTTCTAGATATAAGAGTAAAGCAATTTGTTCTGTTTTGCAGATATCTAGTATACGAGTACCCAAGAGATTCCCAAAAGGTAAAAAATGAATCTAAATCCCCTATAAGCTAGGTAGCAACCGCTAATGATAAAACGCCGCTTAATAATAAATATATTATAAATTATTGTTTTTATAGTTGACATTCTAAACCGTTAATGCAAAATATCCGCTAATAAAAGAATTATATCATTAAACAGATGAGAATATCAATCGTTAATGCAATAATTTATTAGTTGCTTCGCAACGCGTAATGATATTTCTATTATATTTCGGCGTTTTATGATGAGCGGTTGCTAAAAAGCTCCTTTGATTTAGATTGTCATTTTTGATTTATGTATAAACGTCTTTATACATGTACATATGTATTTCACTGCTAGAAACAATAATCCTTACATCGTACAATATTGCGCAATCTCTGAAATGCGAAACTTTGATTTTTTAAATATTTTGCTGTGCTTAACATGTACCATTCTTGCAGGTGGTCCACATCCCCAATCAAAGACGGACAGTGGTATAGATATAGGGCAAGGTATTAATACTTTACTTTAGACTTTGAAGTACTTAGTATATTTAATACATTGCGAATAAATTTTGAACAACGATATTTTTTTCAGATCTAGAAACTGTGGATATCGAAGATTCGACTTTTTGAAATACTTATTAAAAGCGCTGGAAGAGAAAACTTTTGTTTACAATATTCTTTTTCCCCATCTTAACTTGGCGCAACTTCCCAAGTATATTATTCTTAAGGAAATCCTGTCATAACGAAACAAGTCATTAGATTTTTTCCCCAAAAATGTTATTGATTTTATAATAAAATTTCAGATGTTGAACATAAATTTTCAACATTCGATTTATAAAAGAAATAAGCCATGTGGAAAATTCAGACAATGCAATACTTTCCTTATTCCTTTGAATCAGTTTGATTTGTATTTGAAAGGATCTTTTGAATGAGGAATAGTAAACATACTTACAGTGTACCGGTATTTTAAAGGTAACCTTATTTACACCTTTTTTGCTGCTTTTTATCCACTGTTTTTGTACGACCTGATATATGATTTAAGCTTATAAGTGTCTTTAAAAAAACTTAAGCGCCAAGTAATGATTGCGCTAATAAGTGTAAGAGAACTAGATTGCTCAGTTATGAGTACAGTATTCAGGATTTTGTGTATGTGTGTGTACACAGATGTTACATGTATGTAATTAATAATATAATACTATAATTGTTAAATGAAATAAATTGCAAGATTGTTTTAGTTTAAGTAACAGTTTTTTTTTAGCTCACTTGATAGAAGCTAAAGTGAGGGGTTTTTTTTTTAATAATTGTCTGACGTCTGTTTGTCAGTAGTTGACCTGCTTTTACGAGTACTCTTATGAAGCAGAATTCATTCAAAAATTTCAAAGTTATTAATTATTCATAGCAAATCGCTGGTGTCAACCCGTGTCCTTTCATGTAAACCTTATGGTGTCAACCCAGGTATCTCGAAATTAACGCAAGTACATGTATCTCAAAATTTAGTGGTTATAAATTCCTGATGGTGTCAACCCTGGAGTTCATTTTTATTTTTCTATATGTGAGTAGCCCCCAAGAAGGCCGAAGATGTAATGTATAAATGAGACGTACGACAGATTTGTTTTTGTGTATGTTTTAGCATGTTTTGAAAGATTGTGAACATAATAGTTTTATGTTTTGATTTGTTTTTAATAAATGTTGAAATTTCAATTGCTCTTATTATATGTATGAACATGTAGGCTTCAGAAACAAGGTCTCTTCACAAACTGTTGGAATTTCGAGGACCACAAATTATGTTTCATTATTACCAGACCTGGATATTTCTTCCAATGAAAAATTAATTTTAAAAAACTTCTACATGATATGAAAACATTTATTTTGGCCTTTAACTCGGTATTTAGATAAATCGGTTTGATTTTAACATATTTTATTATGAAAGAAAAAAAAATAAACGGATTGGGCAGCCGGCATAGCCTATATAAGCCCTCTCCACTTTTTTTTGATTGCCTATCACCAGGTATTTAGATAAATCGACGATGTATCAATTAGTAATATAGTTACATTCATTCATATGTCGATTCTCCCCATGAACTTGAAATAGACACTAATGAGTCTGACACGTTTTATTTTTAGATGTTTTACTGATTATAGACGATAAAGGCCAAATACCAACTAAAATGTATGACAGACAACATGATTTCAATTTTCCTTATTTATGTAGTAAGATCCCGCTATCACCAGGTGTTAATATGGAACGCCGTCACTGCCTTATAGCAGAACACTACTATTGCATTGTGTCAACCCTCCATTACATCATGTCAACTCTTTATGACATTAACCCACACTACTATTTCATTGTGTCAACCTTCCATTACATTATGTCAACTCTTTATGACATTAACCCACCCTACTATTGCATTGTGCCAACCTTCCATTGCATTATGTCAACTCTTTATGACATTAACCCACACTACTATTGCATCGTGTTAACTTTCCTTTACATTATATCAACTCTTTATGACATTTACACATACTACAATTTTATTTCGTCAACTTGCATTTCGTTATGTTTACTTTTCATGACAATCTTAGTTTTTATTAACTGATGTGAAAAGCTCATGCCATACTGTGCGCACTCTTCTACATTATGTCGATTCACTATTACGTTATGCGAACGCGGGTATCCTCGGCCTTTATATGAGCATAACGTATTTTCCGCGTTCCGCAAGCACTAAAATGGCGGGAAAGAAAACTGTCGTAGAAGAGATTCTCAGCGATTTCGGAATGACATCTTTAAATGAAAACTTTAAGCGACAAATGATTGACAATCTTGAAACATGCAAAGCCTTAACACTGCGACTGTGAATTAAAGTCACGTCGAAATTCAATGGTGTTTACTTTAATCTGATAATTAAATACCGGTAAATCAAATATTATAAGTCGTGCAGCAATCATTTTTTTCTTTTTATTTTGAATTGTTTTTTTTTTTTTTTTTTTTTTATAAAAGTCTTAAACTTTGTAGGACATTGCATTAGTTTCACATTAAGTTTAGCTGAATTAAGTTGAAAACTTTTTTCTATAAAACTATAAAGTCTGAGAGCTTCTCCGCTTTCCGCCCTTGGTCTCCAACCATATACCGCCCCCCTTCCTTGTTCAAGATTCCCATATCTGCCACTGATATGTGCCCATGCATGCTTACTAAGGCATATTCAATTGATTTAGATGAGCGACTGGTAGATTTTTGTAATAGAATTCTGGCCCTGGAATGATTAAAAAAAATTACTAACTCCAGTGACGTAGCATCATTTTTTCGAAAGAGGAGGTCAGCCAGTAAAAAAAATCATCTATCCGAAAAAACTAGACAAGCCAAGAGAAAAAATGTCCAAGCCCGAAAATCCTATTTCGGGGAGAGTGGTCCAACTTCAATCAATCCTATTTTTTTCCAGATATATTATATTACCCTTAGTGGACTATATTTCAACAAGAAGTGGGGGTGGGGGGGCTGTACAGTTTCAATGAACATTACATTTTCTATAGTAAAGTTATGTCTGGGAAAAGAGGGGGGTTGATATTATGTGCCTGTGATTTGTCCTAATCAATCACGACCCCCCCCCCCTTCTTACCAGTCATTAAAACACGGTCGTCAACATTTATTATATACTAGATATACAGCTTTGAGATAATGTAAATGTATTTTTGCATCAGGTAATGAACTTGGAATCCACATGATAAAGAGTTAACACAATATAAAGATATTTTTAAATCACATAAGAAAGAGTTGGCATAACGTTATAATATATCCACATCACGGTATGGAGTTTTGACATAATGTAATAAAGTGTTGATATAATATAAAGATATGTTCACATTATGTTATACACTTTTTACACCACGTAATAAAGCACTGACATAAAGGTAAGATGTGTTCACCTCACATCATGATGCCCTCGCCGTAAAATAAAGATAAATCCATATCACGTAATAATACTTTGATACAGTAGAAATATACACTCTCAAAAAGGAATGGGCTTTTGACTTCATGTGATGATAAGTTTAATTATAAAACACAATTTACTTGACGTAATGCAATTTTGACCTCACATATTAAAGAAATGAAATGATGTAAAGAAACATTCATTTCACATAATAAAGTTTTAACACAATGTAAACACATTATCACTTCACATAGTGAATTTTTTACTTCAAGTTATGAAGTGCTGACATAATGAAAGGATGTATTTACTTCATGTAAATGCAGCATTGACATGATGTTAAGATATATTTTCATCATCCCATAAAAAATGGACATAACGTAAAGATATGTTCACATCACGTAATGATAAATTGACGTAATAAATGCATAGTTGTATGCTATAAGGCAGTGATGGCGTTCCATATGTTAACGTCTCCCAATTTATTCCATACTCTAGAGCGAGCTCTGACTACGAGTTCTTTAAATGAGGCAGGCTACTCACAGAAAAGTTGATGTGACAGGGATCTTAACAACTTTGTTAAAAGTCACCATTTCGTAACTTATATGCTCGTTACAATGACCTTGTTTGCCAATTTGACATATAATTAGGTCGTATCTTTGGCCTTGCATTTATACTGAAATTGACAACAGAATGTTCCGTCTACATGATCCATACAACGGAGTCACGGCGGATGTAACCGGTCGAAAGGGGATGCTTAGCCGTCTTAGGCACCTGACCCCACGCTTGGAATATACAGTTGGTAATGTTTATGCATCCTTTGCAGATTTGTATTCTTTATAAAGTTTTTAGATCGACCAATGGTCTTTATCTTCACCATTTCATGAAGAGTATATCTTGAATAAGATCAACTTTTGAACAGGCATGTGTTTGGCACATTAGATGCTGTTGCAGGTTTTTCAACCACTAGTATCTCCTCATAGTCATAATTTTGCAAATTCTATAGAGGTAATTATGATTTCATTTGCAAGTACACCTCATCATAAGGTCATGTTTTACCAAAATGTTTCCTAACAATTAATAGGACATGGTTTCAAAATTTCTTTACTTTATTGTATAGAAAAAAGAGTTTTGTACCAATCTTCGTACATTCTAGTACTTTATAGAAAATAAAATAAACTTCAAACACGGAACCGGAAATTCATAAGATTATATTGTCGAGCAACTTAAAACGGCATAACCACAAGCCAGGAAGAAAATGAATTCGGACATCATAAAACACATGCTGAACATAAAGATAGACGGTCTCAAAATTCTAAAATGGCGTCTGATGGATACTTAATCCCAACTCTGCAGGACATTGAGAAATCCGTGTTGGAACTCAGTAGTCAAGTTCGATTACAGAGTGCTTTTCTGGACTGTCAAATAGAGAAGTTAGAGCAAGATCCAGACACAGATTGTGTAGTGAGTGAAAACGAGGCTGAGAACATTCTTGCTCGGACTAGCAGTCTACGAGCTGAACTGGAGAAATTTAAGTTGAATTTGAAAAAGTATCAAGAAGTCACGAAAGAAAAGAGAAATAGCAGTAAGTTGGGGTTTTTGATTTTTTTTTTGGTGCCAAAATTTCAATTTTTTGCCTCTGTGTTGAATTCATCACATATTTTTTGACTAAAATGATATGGCATTATGTAACTCAAGGATGTAAATTTTAAGATAACAATGATAAAGATATCGTAAAATTACAATGCTTAAT